TCGGCAACGTATGATCGGCGTTTAGCCAGCCGTGGTCGACCGCATTCGATATATAAACACTCTCATTTGGTAATATATCTCATTAAGGCCTCATTGATCCACCGTCCCGATAAATTTATCCGGCAGTTTAGAATGATATGCGAACCAATCTCTCGCGGACGGACCGATAAAAAGCCGGCCTTTGGTTGGTTTATTACAGTGGATTTGATTTCACCCTCTCACGTGGATAAATTTATAGAAAAGTGAATCGAATGAAGATTCGAATTCTCTATCGTGCCGAGTGAAGAGAATCAGTTACGAGTAGGAATAACGTTTACATTTATAAAATTATATAAGATTACATTGGATGATAAAGGGGGAAAAAAATTGGGAGACGTATTGGATTAATTATGGGAGGAAAATGAAGGATTATTGGTGTAAAAAGTGAAGAGGTCGATAGAGATTCAGATGATATCAATTATTTTTATTAACTTTGGAACTCGGTCTGCTGGTTTTTAAAATTAAAATCGAGGGATTTTTTTAAAAAGAATAAAAAAGAAAAAAACATTTATACCTAATTTAATAATATTTTACAACACCTGTTGGCGTTTCATCAACGAACGGTTTAACGCTTCGACGCTTCGAATATTTAATCAAAAAGAAGATATTTCAAACGAGGGTAAATATTTTAAGAAAGCGTAGTATTTTTAATTACAAATTATAAATTTGTTATAATCGTGAGAGATGTTATTAATTCGAGGGAAGGCAGTAAATATGAACGAGTTAGCCTTTCCCTTTAGTTGTTCGCTAACGTTTAGCTTTATTGACAGAGGTACGGTAAAAGCAAACGCAGCAAAGCGGAATAACGGGAAAGAAGGGAAAAAGTAAAAGTGTGAAGGGTGACACGCTGAAAGCTCTGTGACAGGGTGGAAAATTCAAATCGAAAGGGAAATCGTGAAATGACTCTGACTTTTCCTTCGTAGAGAGATAGATAGAATGAATATCGAATGTAAGAAATATATCCTTCTCCCCTTTAATTCTTTAATTAAAAATTTTACACAATTATATATCATTAAACAACTAACTATTGCACTTTATTTCCCATTTTAATTCTTTTTCTCGAGCTTGAGAAAATAATTGTTCAATGATTCAAATTCGATTATTATAATATCCAAAGGATATCTTAAAAAAAAATACACTTGCACTTCAAATACTCCTGCAATAAATTCCCATCTTAATTAAACTAAATAATAATAATAATTCAATTAACTTCGACAAATTTATTTGAGAAATAAAATTCATCGAATAAGTACATCTTAGCAAAATGCAATTTGAATTCCAATTAAACATCCTTCAAATCCACGATTTCAGTTCGATAATCTTCGAAAATCTCGACTTTTCAGCCTCGACAGTTTGACCCTCCACCAGTGACCCAGCTTGTTCTCCACTACAGTAATCGGTAGCCGCGTGTCTATGCAAATTCTCCGCCGTTCGAATTCCGCGTATCAAGATGTGAGTCACGCCTGTAATCTTTCGCATAGTAAATTATCCGCCAATATCAACGAGATCAGATACTGGCCGGTATTATCTGTTACGATTCGAGGATGGGGGAGGGTTGAAGAGGGATCGAGAGACGCGAGACAGAGGGTGCGACAGAGCCGGAGGATCGAAAATGGAGAGAGAGAGAGAGAGAGAGAAAATCCAGGGGAAAGGGAACGAAAGAGAGAGAAACGTGTAAGAGATAGAAGAGAGAGAAAGAGATGGACACTCCACCCCGTCGGTGTAAGGGCTTTGCGCAGTTATAAATGCGGTTTTGTATCTAGCTTTACAGGACAAAGTAATGGGCTTAGATAATCCTGATTTAATAAATCGAACAGTTGCGGAGGGAGCGTTTACAACGCGTGACTAACGCGTTCAAAAACAAGATGAATGACGCGACACGTCGAAGTACCACCGCCTGCTCTCGCATTTACATTTCGCCACTGTATCTCCGGATGAGAGGAGGGGAAAAAAAAAAAAAATAGTTCTAAAAATGTGGATACAAAGCTGCGCAGGATTTGTCGGAGTCGACAAGAGCTAATTTTCTTTCTTTTCTTTTCTTTTTTTTTTTTTAATTTTTCAGGGACGGTTTTTGAGGGAATAGAACTTGAAGATACGTTTAGGGGATACGCGAACAATTTAAAAACATGGATTTTTATTTCTGAAAATTTGGTTAAAGAGATAAATTAATTTGATCTTTCTTTTTTTTAATTAATTAAAAATGTGTAAATTTCAAGTTATGTTTGATATCGTATCGTTGATTAAATTGTAATAATTTTGGCTTTCATCGAGACCATCGATATTATCAAATAATGTTTTGGAAGATTGGTAATTTTTGGAAATTTTATTATTAGAGATCGTATATTTTTCAGAAATTATGAAATTTCATACCAAAATCTTCAAGATAAATATTTAAGAAATTGTGATTTTTCCCTATAAAAGATTTGTAAAAGAAAGTAGAGGTGAAAAAAATTAATTAATTAAAATTAATGAATATTTAGCGCATAATTTTGATAAAGAGGGCCACTTCAATTGTTCTAATGTTAACGTTCAATTTGAGGCCAATGTAAACTGCAGAGAGATTTTAATGGCTTATTATCGGTTACTTGCGTCACGTTTTGGCTCCATTACGGTCTATTAAATTAGAGGTAATTCCTGGTTAAACAGTGCGCCGCCATAATGTTAGCCGAAAATCAATTCTTACAGGATGGTGGGTACAATTTCTGCTCCGTTTAAAGACAATTCGTCATCAGATCGAATTAATAAATAATAAACCGTCTAATATAAGTAAATTTATTGATATTTCCAAACGAAATTCATTTGTATCCACTATTATATTATACAGTCTATTAGACTGTGCAAGAAGTATATTTCGTATAATGAATATAAAATCAATTTGATTTATTGTACGTACTTATGTTTCACGAAACATTTACTCGTACTACTTACTAACTAAGAGCATAAACGATTCTTGAAACTATGAATTAAGTTATTTTTCTCATAATTAAATATCGAAGAAAAAATAATGGTATTTACATGGTGACATCGATTAAATAGAAGAAAAATTAAAAAAGAGACGTATATTAATTTAATCACATTAATCAACAATAAAATCTCAGAAATTACAAAATTGTGAAAAACTTGTAACTTGTCAAATATTTATGCGAGAGAATAGTTGAAATTTCGGCTGTAAGATGTGGGGACGAATCTGATAACTGAAAACAGCTTCCTCGACGAAAGAAAGAAAGAAAGAAAAAAAAGAACATTTCGTCCGAATTTAATAATTCGTTCGCCCGATTTCGAGTCGCGATATGTTGATCGAGTGATCGATCGAACGTTTTATCACCGCCGATAAAAGCGCCGAGAGAGAACAATAAAAAAGATAAGCGGGAACCAATATAGCCAAGAATCAATTTTTATGTATTACGAGTTCGCGAAGACACTGCCAACCGGATTGAAAATCGTACTATCCGGATTTTCATTTCGCGTTCGCTCTATCGTTACACTCGCCCCCCCAAGAACTCTACTTTATCGTCGAGCAACAACTTGTTCAACTTTTATCACCCTTGCTATCATCATCTTTCTCCCTCTCGTCCAATTCTTGATTCAACTAACGCGAGAAACAGAAGGATTAAACACGACTCAAGAAACGAAGCTTAAATACAGATTTTCACTCGAATTCTTTAAATATATATCGTATATCTTCCTATCTTTTTCCAAGTGTATCCAAATTTTGTATCCAGAAATATCCTCACTCTGGTTACAAAGATTCGTCGAGTTTGAAATCCAAAAGTATTTATCCAAGTTCCAAAGTTGTTCAAGAATCGTAATCAAAAATAAAACTGGTCGAAAAGACAACAAAAACACCGAGCTCGATAATAAAGCTTAAAAAAATCAGTCGTTGTCAGCTCTATCCCCCGGTATCGGGAAAAACTGAGAAAGGGTTAAACAGAGAGGGTAAAACGTCGACGTTTTACCGGTCGCGCAAACGGCGGCGTGGCAGTCAATCTCGGCCAGATTGTCCCAGCCTTCCTTTCTCTCCGTTATCTTAATTCCTCGAGTGTTTTAATTTTCATCCGAACAGCTATTAACTTTTACGGCTGGCCGTTTACTTTTTAATTCGTTTACCGCCTACACGCCCGGTTGCACCAACGCCGACGCGCCCGCTTATATCTTTAATTTAAGCTCTCGACTTGGCGGCCATTGAACAAGGCTGCGGATTGGCGAGGGTGGAGGGGCGCCACGGGGGTGGAGTTTAGTTGGGGTCACGCGGCGCTCGCCGCTATGGATAGAGGGTGGTTTGTGGGTGCAATCGGTACGCTCGAGTCCCGCCGCTCCCCTGGCGCCCGTTACGTTAATTAAATACATTGTTGCGGGGACACGGCCTCTCCTCCCGCGTATTTCCAGCTTTATAGATGTACAAGGGGGCCACCTTGAGCCGTCTTCGTGCCACCTTCGTCGATTTTTTTCTTTCTTTTTTTTTTTTTCTTTTTTCCTCTCTCCTCCAGGCGGAGGGGGTCGTCACGTGGATTGTTTGGAGGATTCGTGAAGCGAGGATCGGTCGTGCGTGATAAGTGCCACGGATGGACGCCATTTGGCAATTTTGCGTTAATGCGAACGGACGACGTTGATTAATGTTGGAAAATTTATGCCGGTGCTTAAAGAAACGTTGGAGATGATGTTAGAAATTAATAAAGGAGAGGGGTTTTTTCTGTCTCTCTCTCTCTCTTTCTCTCTCTTTTCGAAGGGAACAGTTCTAAACGCAACGTAAAGAATCATCGAATCATACGAGGTATTACAAGCTTCGTAATTCAAATTCGAAATGTTTCTGATTTTTCATTTCCAAGATGCACTGAAATGCAGTTTGTATTTTGCTCTTTTGAAATAAACGAAAATTTGAAACTTTGGGAGAGTAATATTAGTTAAGGATTTGCTTCAACGCGACGAAATTTTCCAACGAGACGATCCGTTTGTGATTGCAGGTATGGTTCCAGAACAGGCGGACAAAATGGCGGAAAAAGCACGCGGCCGAGATGGCGACGGCGAAGAGGCGGCAAGAAGAGGTCGAGGGCGTCGTCGCCGAGGGTGAGGACGGTTGCAGCGACGCGGAGGCCGAGGGAAACAGCGAAACCGCCGCGAAAAGGCTCAGAAGGGAGCTCGAGCAACAGTATAGGCATTAAAACTTAATGTGAGATGTCGATTCGAAGAAAAGGGAAAAGGGATCGAAAGACTAGATTCTGAAATGCTAGATAGATTCTAAGTAAAAGGAAATGAAGGAGTGTGTGGCGAAAAGGATTTTAAAAAATTCACAGATTTCCAGCTTGTCGCAGTGCTTCGATTGTTTCGTGGGTTGAATTGGCACAAGATGTTTCGTAAATTTCTTCTTTCTAATCCTGGATTTTTCTTTTTATTTTTGGAAATTGATCGATCAAATTAAAGCAAAGGAATCAGAAAATTTATTAAAGAATTAAGATAAGATATAGCGTCTGCCAAAAGTTCAAATAAACTGGGAACTTAGTATGAATGAAATTAAAAAATGATTTTTATCAAAAATGACACGATCTTTGTTTTCAAAAATTCTTTACATTATTTTCGTAATAAAATATAGGAATATTTAGCTGGAGGTGAAGAGTTACTAAACTTTTGGCACTTTTGCTACTTTATCTTAGTTCGTGTACCATAAATCGAAAGTCGTAATAACATTACTATCCTTAACTCGAAGGATAAATTGTAGAATTGAAATTAAATTGAAGATTCGGAAGGGATGTGGTCCAAATAACAAAATCTTTAATTTGAATTGGATTGGATGGACAAAGTTTCGAAGTTGAATAGAAAAATTTAGACGTTTCCAAGTGTTAAAAAAAAGTTTGAAATCACTGTATGGAAAATCAAAAGAAGGAAAATACGAATAGAATTAGTAGCTTTGAATAAAAAGCTTGGAATTCTGTTATCATAAAAAATTCTTCAATTAAAAATCGATTGGAAAAGATAGAATCTAATTGTAATTGACTTCAAAAACAAACATTTGATTTTCAAATTTGAAAACAATTCGTAACAATTTTTAATAAATATCGATCTCCAGTAATTTATACAGATTTCCCGATAATATTTTTTTATTGTATTTTTCATCGCGTCCATAATCATCCGTTAAAAAAAGCAAGATAAATTTCTTAGGAAAAAAGATTTCTTTTCTTCGTAAAATATTTGCATCAAATCGCTTTAACGGGAAACACTTATATCGTCCTTTGATTAATAAAAAAAAAAAAAGAAAAAAAGAAAAAAAGAAAAAAATCTTTGTTTAAAAGCTATGCCACAAAGACTGACGAGTTGAAGAGAAAAATTAAGCATCTCTTATCCAATCATCGAAACGCTATGATTTGTATCAAAGAGTATGATATTCGAAGCTTAAAATATAATATTGTGCCGTTAAAACGTGTTAACTTGTAGATAGAAGCGTTGGAGGAGAATGTATACGATTTTTTAAAATATAAAATTAATCGTGTGATTGACGTTGGCACATATTACAACTATTGTTAAAGAACCAAAGATCGACGCGTATCAGTTAAAAATTAGGATAAACGAAATTCGATTGATTAATTTTTATACAAAACGTCGATGAAAAGATTTAAAAAAAAAAATAAATAAAACTCGAAATTACGTACACGAATTGTTAAATAATTCTATTGAAATAAAACATAATAATGATCGAATTAACGAATTTTCGCAAGATAATGAGTTTTAGTGGCACAATGGCGAGATTCCTATTTTCACATATTATCAAATGTGAATCCATTTAATCAAATGTCTCACGTTGATATGAAATGCTGATAATGGATCACGCGTTATTTTCGTTTGGAAAAAATTCCATCGACGACGAATTTTTAACGTTTACAGAGATCTATCGTTTGTATATATTTGTATTAAGATGCCATATTATGCTATAACGAAAGGACGATCCTGCCGTCTGGATGTTTTAAAAGGATTTAACAAGCAAAATTATTATATTGTAACTGGAAGACAGTAATTACACGTATGCGATTATTTGCGGGATTTTGATGTTGAAAAACGAAAAGAAAATAAAACTGAAGATATTCCATAAAAATATCGAATTTTTTGAGGCAAGAAAGAGAAAAAATTTGTTTATAATGATGCAAATTGATGATGATGATGATCGACAAATTAAATCTTGTATCTTTAATTGTTAATTATATTGAAAAGGAATTCGTTCTATTCGTTCTATTATTAATTTATTTAGTCGAGGATATTATTACGATAAATCTCGACCGATGAATCTAGTCATATGTATTAAACGATAATTTGTATGATAATTGTGATTAAGTTTATTAAGAATATCAGTTTAAACGATTATTGAGATGTTATGAATTTTAAAAAGTGATAATAATTTGATAATTTGAAGACACGAATTAATATGAAAAGATTTTGGGAGAGAAGTTGAAAATTTGAGAAAATAAAAATTCAAGAGAGATTTGAAAATTTTAAATATAAAAATTGAAAATTGAAATTTTGGAAATACAAAAATTAAATTTCGCCTCGTCTTGTCATACTTATTTATTCCTTTTTTCTTTGCGGAGTATAAGTACTTTGGTAGTAAATAAGCCCTGCGTATTATTATGTACGAAGAATAATCACAGCAATTCGACTGATTTTCAAAATGCATTTATTTGTCGAAAACGAAACCACCCACGCAATTTCGTTGTTCTCCATTTAAATTTTCCTAATATATTATATTTTATATCATGAATTATTACATCATCCTATATTTATAAATTACTTTCTTAAAAGCAAAAGTTCTACGTTTCATCCGAATCTTGCCTTAAAGTTGAAAAATTTTAACGCACACAGAAAAATATCACATCGTTCAATCCTGCAAATAATTAACCATAATAATAATAATAATAATAAAAAAAAAAAAAGAAACGCCTCATAAGCTCATATTCAATTAAACAGCACGTGTAATAGTGAATATACGCTGAATATGCCATCACTATGAGCATAAATAATATAAATATTCGAATAATAAATTAAATGCAAACGCGAAACGAGGATAAATATTCGAAGAGAAAAATGTACGTAAGAAGAAAAGAATCGAACGATTCCCATTAAGAATTCTCTATGTATTTACGTCCCAGTGAATTATGCTAATGAACGAATAAGCGGATCGAAATGAATTTTGTATATTCTGTAGATACGATAAACGTGAATGTGATATTTAACGTATTTAATAAGAATCTGACGTATAGATATATAAATATATATATATATATATAGGATGATTCTAGAGCGAATCGTTACAATTTTTTAACATATTTTGATCATTTTATAAATAAAAAAGAAAAAAATACTCTGTCAATAGTTCGAACAACAAGTTTTTACCTTTATCTTTTCTCTTGTAGTGAATTCATTATTTTCATTCGATAATCATCTTCCGAGCAAATAATCTCCCATTTTTTTTGCAAAAATAGAAAAATAACAAGTCTTTTATTTCCATCGTTTCCACTCACTTTCCTTAAAACGAAACAAAAAAAAAAAAAAAAAACAAAAATTTTAATAATTTTGAAAATTTAATCGATTCAATTATTTGCATTCAATTTGTAAACTCTAAGAATTTAAAACAATTTCAAAATTCCAGAGGATTTTTTTTTTTATATTAATTAAGAATTCGGATTAGAAAATTTGAGTATTCGATCTCTAATTTAATTAATAAAAAATATAAATATCCCATAAAACCGCTTCCGTGTTCAAAATGATCATCGTATACCCTTAAAAATTATTGTCGAATCGCCCCAAAATCATCCAACGAGTAGGTGTTCCCCCTCATAAACTCGAAGAAGGCAAAAAAAAAAAGAAAAAAAAAATGAAAAAAATATAGGATCGTAGACGTACACGTATAATGTATAATCGCAGGAGGCGTGCAGCTAAAGAAGAGGAAGCGGAAGTCACTTGCAAGATCCTCTCGATACCAGCGCGCGTTCTTTTTTTCAGCGCGGTTACCATTGTCGATATATTGCGAGAAAAGATTTTCAAGATTTGGAAAATTGTTTGGATCGATTACAACAAATTTTGAAACGGAATAAATACGAAATGTGTAATGATAGAAAATGGCGGGTATACTAGACGTACCAATTACTCGAGCGTTTAACGTGTTATTATTGTACAGTATTTAGATAAATTGCTGAGCGAACGAGGTAGAGACAATCTGTATAAAATATTGTATAAATTATACATACGTGTTATCTATCGCTTGTGTATTATATCTCCAATTTAATAAATGGAACACGTATTACGGTAATTATAAAAAAAAAAAAAAATCATAACCTTGTGTTAATCTTTCATCGCCCATGTTTTGAAGAATCTTTTGAAGAATCTTGGTGCTTTTTTTTTCTCTCTCTCTCTCTTCTTGTTTTGAATTATTCATTGAAAAGTATCTGGAATATAAATTAATAAATGGCAATAACGTATCATAAATGAATAATTGAATCTTGTGCATATGCAATTAGCAAAGAAACGATCGCATGCAATGAAAAAAATAGAAATAGATTTTTCTGAAATGATGTTTAGAAATTTAAAGCGATAAAGTTACTTTTTAATTGTCGAGGAAAAGAGAATTGATCTTTTGAAAAAGATGATGCACGATCTATGATTCTAGAAATCTCAGTCAAGAAAATGATTGAAACTTAAGGAAACATATTTGATAATATGTATTCTTCTAGAGCAAATGCTTCATTCATTCGTGAAAATAATTTAATATTCTGGCACTTTAACAGATAATGTACGCGTTTTTAATTAATCTTTCACGAAGATCGATGAAGAGCGTATGGATAGGTAAATTGAAGATGAAAATCACCAAGGCCATCAGGAGCATTGATAACATGCAAGGGATCGTAATGAACGATGTACGGATGCGTTGCAGGGAACGCATCAATCATAAAGGAAGACACTTGAATGACGTAATTTTTAACACATTTACCATCGATTAAGTCCAACTGCCTCCAAGATATCGCCACGATGAATACTGATCGAAGAGGGAAAAAGTCTTTAAAAATTTCGAATTATCACATTACTTACAAAAATTCCTTTAAAAATATAAAAATATCCTTCGAGGGGATTCGTGAAGAAACTTAATTTTTCAATCACAAAGAAAGGTAATTACAGAATAAAATAATAACGTAACGCTTAAATTTTTATTTTCTTTTTTTTTTTTTTTTTTTTAGATTTTGAAATTAAAAAAATTATTTATAAACTTAGGGCTTAAAAGCATGCATACCTCTATAAATTTTATTTCTATTCCTATATACATATATATTACACATTATTTTCTCCATACGGATAATTAGTCTT